AGACTAGATGAAGCAAGTAGCCATTTGTAGTCTTAACAGCCACGTGAGCTTCAATCATGGTCTGCCATTTTCTGACAATGAAGCACATTTTGTCACCGGTAAGATCCATGCCATGGAATTTAGTCAGGCAGTGTTTGCCCTGAACATCCTCAGTAATTAGCTTGAACTTTCTAAATGCAACTTCATCATTCTGCAGATCAGCTGGGCTCACTTCAAAAACATGACCCTTGAGACCATCAGATGCAATTTTGGTTCCTTTAGTTCCTGTGACTAGTATTTTTCCAATATTTCTTATATTGAACCTAGCTGGTGTTTTCACTTCATACCAATATTTATCAACCACTTTCTTCTTGGCTCCCTTTTTGCCACCTTCCATAAGGCACTTGTTCTTGCCCACCACCATGGTGCTGCTCAGAGAGCCAAAAGGGCAGTACCTTATTATTTTAGATCAATCCTGAATTTTTACCTTAAAAAAGCAATGCAGTAACAAAAACTTTCATAGCAAACTGTTTGGAAATTTTTCTTATTATTTATCTTAATTTATCAATCTATTTCACAATTTTCCATTTAATAATTAAAGTACCAGTTTGCTATGATTTAAATATTAGTTCCATTTCACCATCATTATTTAACTCAGTAAAAATTTCTCCTAAAAGATGCATGCCTTTATTTTTGTATCTACTTATTTTTAACTTCTACCCTAGCCATTCAGTTTTTAGGTATTTGCTCTTGTAAAGGTGAAACAGGTTAAACATATCAACAAAATACAGAATAAATTATTTTACAATGATATACTGAACTTTTATGCTTTAAAACTTGCTCATACAAATGCACTCTTATCCTATTTAAATAGAGAATAGAATTTAAAATATAGTAGAAGTTACACTAATTAGGTAATAATTTCTGCAATGTTAGTATCCTAGAAAAAATTAAGGCACAACCTTTTGACTAAGCATTAACCGGTTCATCTCATATAAGGAGGCAACTGGAAGAGATTAGTTCCCTTTGCTCGTCTATAAGATGTATACCATACCTAGAGAAAAACAAACACATCTTTCCTTCCCAGAGAAAACTTCATTAAAAGACTTACTTCTGAGGCAGCAGTTAAATAGAAATGACTGTGGGGATATTCACATTTTCATGAACAATTTTCATGTTCACAAGAAGGGGCCCTTTCTCCCTGTAATCCTGACATCAAGAACCTCACAGGACTCATTTTTACTGTTCACAACTATGGCTTCTGTGGGTTTTTCAGCTCATGCTTTACAAACAAATGAGCTTTTTTATTTGTTCCTAATGACTTTGGTTTATACAGTGAGATCTTAAACTGTCCCCAGAGCAATTATTTTGCTAAAATGTTATCAGAACATCTTTACAAATTTAGCAGCAAAGGGGGGTTTCATTAACAATGGAAATCATTGGGAACCAAAGGCCCTTGGCAAATGCAGAGCTCCCAAATTTTGTTTTATTTTCAGTGATGAGTACAAATAATGCTGTGAACTATACACTGATTCTTTATCTGGTGAGTGGTGAGGAAGATGAGGAATTGATGGGGTGGGAAGAGATGCTAGGAAAATCAGAGCAGTTTTCTCTGACTAATCAGCTCTGCCCTTGCTCTTCTAAGGAGCTTTATGAGCCCTAAGCAATGTGAACCTTCTAACATCTGCTAATAGAGTTTCTTTCCTGAGAGTTTGGGGGTTTGTAGCTGAAGCTGAGGACCATCAATAGGCTTTAGATTATATATATAAACATATGTGTCCCATTTTCATTGTAATCAAATTTGATATACCTGCTGTTCACAGAAGGACAGCTACTGACAGGCCTGAAATTTGACCTGCAGTTTCTTGCAGATGACATCCAAAGATGTGGTCTTTCTCTTGGTTTGTGGCTGCGGTTTCAGATATGGGATCTGCTTCTATTCTGGGCAGCTTTGCTTTCAAAGACCTCCTTTGTCCAGGACAACTTTTGGGAGATTCTTTCAGGGGGCTCTGTCTGTCGTTTCATCCAACACTTTATTGCTGGGATCCCTTTCAATATCTCTTTTCTTTGTTCTGTGTATGACCAGCTTGCCATGCAGACAGAAGCCCCTTCAATACAAGGCTAGCCTATATCCTTTCAGTCACCCAGAGGCCACATTTTAACCAGGATCACTTCCGTGAATGGAGTAGATACCTATTGTTGGAAAAACAGTCTTTCCAACATTGAATATGTCTCAAAGATGACTAATTAAGCTGTGTGTAAAAAATGATAATTAAAGAAGACATCCAGAGAGGTGACATCCAGTTCAGCACTAAGAGAATTATAGGTTGGATGCATTGGTATTACTCTGTAGCCCATTGGGTAGGCCCAGGGGTTGGTGATAGCACTCTCATAAAGGATGAGTTTTTTATTTAATTTTTACTATGTTTTTTATTTAATTTTTTGTTTTTTTATCAGATAATGTTTATTGAACAACAAAAATCTGGATTCAGTGACAATTATCTGAATATTATTACTAATAGAAATCAATACATCTTATTTTCATTGTTATTAGCCATCTCTAGCTGATGTAAATAAGAATGACTGTCATGTACAGATCATCCTGATTCTCAGCTTGTTAGATAATTGTTACAGTGCAAAATACCTTCTCTCAAAATAGAATTCCTTCTCCTGCTAAAAGAAGTTTATAATAGAGATGTCGTGATATTATTATATAGCATAAATAAAATTTGTTGTGTAACCTGAAACATAATATTGCACAGAAGTGTTATTTTCTACCTCTGATTCCCCTTAGCCAGTGTCCAGGGCTTGGACTCGCCGATCCGTTTGTTCATTTGTACATAACATCTCACACAGTTCAGCAGCACCAACAGCAAGTACTAAATTAAAAAAATATGGACTGTTGTTAGTAACTATAGTATATGGCATTCAAGTTATTTCTAAGGAACATAGTTTAACATTAGTTTTTTTCTCTTTTCTTTTTGCCTTTTTTATATTTCTGTATGCCTTTTTTAGTTGAAACCATTGATACTGGAGACTGGCTTCATAGGCAGTAACCAGCCTAATTCAATAGGCTTTGTTCCTGTACTGTATTTGGTATATTACTAACTTAGTGAATTTCTATTAGAAAGTAAATTGGTACTATTAGCTTTAACATTAAGAAAATATGCAATGATTGTTGATTACAGTAGACATTTTATTATTTTTTGCAAATATTTGTATCGATCTCTTGGCCAAAGTCATGACAATAATATGGTGGTGTGTTCTGTAGCCTGTAAATATTTGGAAGAGAGAGTCATCCTCTTTGCTAGCGGATGATTTAGAGAAAGGCTAGATGCGTTACCTTTCTTATTGCAGTTAATAAATGCGAAGGCATCTTTGTAACCTTATGCTGTATTTACCAGGATTAACACATTCTTCAAAATGTGCTGGCAGTGTTTTCCTTAGTGCTTTCAGGTGTGCTGTGTGGCAAGCAGGTCACACACAGTGCAGGGAGAGCAAGGTCTCCCTGACCATTGGGAAGACTACTGATACTTTCTTCAAGGGGAATCCAAGGCTAAGAGGGTGAACAGGAGAAAGTGTGAAGCTCTTCGCTGGTTTCTTCTGATGTCTGTATTCCTTTTGTTTGTTTGTTTTTAAGAAAACAAATCAACCAACCAAACAAAAAAGCTTCAGTCAGCAAAGTTAAAGTAACTTTCCTCCAAATATTTTAATTACTTGCAGGAAGAGACAAAATAATACAGTTTTAGCCAATTCTGGGAACCATGAATTTTGTCTGATACTTCTAACAGCTCTACACATCTGGTATCCCGATACACATCCTCAGTATCCTGAATGTAGCCCGACTTAGCTGCTTAACAGAACAGGATGAGATCATCTTACTAATAGTCAAACGGACACTATCTCCTTTTTGCCAAATACTCCTTTAACCATAGCAGTATTTTAACCGTAAAGGTCCTAAATCTTTAGACAGGATTGTTTCATCTTGTTACCCAGAGAAAGCACTTATTATTAAATTACTGAATATTGCACAAAGCAGTAATGCATTTTAACTTTTTAAAGTATTGGAGAGTTCTTTCAGAGAACTAAGTTTTTAAGATGTGAAGTATGTACTGAAACTTGAAAGAAAAAAGTTTAATTAAAAATTGCTATGGCAAAGTACACATGAGAATTAACAACTTATAAATAACCAGGTTTTGAATGTTAACTGAAGCTATCATGTGAGGATTGGAGGTGATGCTTCTGCCACATGCCCTTCCCTGGGGCACCAGTTACTTGATCTGATTCTCTAGCCGCCCATTGATTTTCTGTACCCCCTCCACCCATAAATTCCTTTAGCCAGAAAATAAATAAATAATAAATAACCAAGGCGGATTAAATCTACAATTTCCCACTGTAACATTTATTTTGGCGTCAAAGTCAAATTTTAGTGTGTTTTTCATAGTCACCTTTATAAACAGAGGAAAAAAGAACTTTTTATTTCCTCAAAATGTAATTTTTTTTTAATTGTCCATATTAATAATCTTCTAGGTTCCAAAATTTGGAGAGGTATTTGAGAAAAATAATTTTTAAAAAGTTGTCCAAGAATTTAGGAGCAAATGTTTCTGTTTAATCCAGATTAGCCAGTCTTCTCAACTAGTGCTTTCTTGTCATTCTTGGGTCTGCCAATTATGAGAGCAAAATCTTGGTTGATAAACCTATTAATGCAGATGAAAATATAAAGCACCCTATTTTTATTGGTTTCTTATGCTTTTCTGGTACAATTTTTGTTTAAAGATAGTTTAAAGAATGGAAAGAAAAATTTCATTCAAAACTACCTGTAAATAAAATACATTATTTTATTCATTCAGTTGTCAATATTTTTGAATATTGTTATTGTATAATATTACTCTCGTTCAGCTACAGTTGAATTAACAAAATCATTTTTTTTTTAAACCCACTGTAGTAAAGCAGTATCTGTCTTTATTTTCAACATTGTGAAGCTTTTAATTAACAGAAACCACCATGGGTTGCTTCTTTAGAATACCACTAAATGTTAGAGACATCGTCTACTGTACAGGAGTTTCACTGCTCGATGAGGACGTCTGGGAGTTCATATGGATGAAATTCCACTCCACCACGGCAGTTTCCGAGAAGAAAATATTATTGGAAGCCTTAACTTGCAGTGATGACAGGAATTTATTAAATAGGTGGGTCAATTAATGTTTCTAAATTTATTTGTGTAGTGAAAGTATTCTCCATTAATCAAACTGTTCTAAAGTTGATTTTATTTCCTTGAATATATGCTGCTTACTATAAAATCTATATTGCTGGAACTAAGGAACACTGATACGTTAACATAATTAAAGCTAGTTGACTTAAAAGGTATACCTTTGTTTCTGTAACTGATTTTTAAGATGTTTTTACTTATATATGTAAGATAATATTTCAATATAAAAGGAAGTGTTTACTATAAAGAATTTTAAAGGTAAGTTTGCATCATCAAACCAGAATTGTGATTTCTCCACCCACAAGTTATTTAATTAATAACTTGTTTAATTAATAACAACTTAATTAATGTACTAACTAACATACTATGAGTTTTATCTTCTTCCTTTTTTATAACCAGAAAAGTATTCTATTGATTAATTTGTATTAGTAAAGTTTACACAGGATTGTTCTCTTGAAGAATATGATAATTAAATCATGTAATTTTTGTAATTTTATAAAAATGTTTAAGTTGTTGGACTAAAACTTTCCCCACAATTCTATCTTTAAAGACTTCTGAATCTGTCACTGAATTCTGAGGTGGTGCTGGATCAAGATGCCATTGACGTGATAATCCATGTAGCTCGAAATCCACATGGCCGGGACCTTGCCTGGAAGTTCTTTAGAGATAAGTGGAAGATATTAAATACCAGGTAGATACCTTGTCCAATCATTCATAATTCAGTGAGTAAATTAAGGGTGACATCCGAGAGATAAAAGCCCAACTTTTTGTGTTAGAATCAAGGTCCAGATAATAGAATCAGATCTGGAAAAAACACAACCAAGATGGGTCCTGCCATGCCTATGAAACTCAAAATTATTTTAACAATTCTATAACATTAATCATTCATTAAATATTGATAACTGTAATTATATATGGAAATGAGAGTAAAAAGGTTTAGCAGTGCAGTTTTCCTTGGCAATCTAACAAACTTTCCAAAGTTGAAGAAATTGTTTTTATAAAACCCCTGTATCCTGAATGTGTTATAAAATATGATTTGTAAATCAGATATAATTGTATTATATCAAGAAAACTTTATTTCTGTAAAGTCGTTTTAAATTTCCTTTAAACATAAATATCACAAAACACCTGAAATAAAATCATAATATAAAAAAGGAACATTTGAATCACTGTATAATTTTAGTTGCAGTATAATTCATTCCTGGGACATCTTGTTCAGTGGTAAGAATTCTTCAGCCTCAATTTTAGAAAATGTTTCTTATATATTTAAATATATTATAATAAATGTTCCTTTATTACTCTGATAATCTCTATGGTATTTTAAAATTAAATTTATTATAGAGCATGTAAATGCTGCATGTTCTCAAACTTAAATGTCCCCAGACAGTGTGCAGACCTACTGCTCTGTCTCTCTTAAAAACTGCTGTGTAAACTTTACTTTTAAAAAGTACACTTTATCAGTTACCTTAGTATAAAGAATGGATGTATCATATTAAAACACATTTCTATCTACAAATATTTTGTTGTCAGAAAGCAGTGATATTCCTAGAAAGCACATTGGTTTTTTGTATTTTCAGCTCAGAAAATGGAATGATTGGAAGATTAGAACTTGCTTGAGTGTTAAATATCTACCCATACACAGAGTCTCTGTATAGAGTGCCTTTGTGGATCAGAGTTCATTGCAATGCATATATAGTTTAGTTCCTACCAAAAAGCGTTTGGTTCCTGATATGCCTATTTTGTCTCAGAGTCTATGATCTCTAATCAAAAGGTAGAAAGGTTCAAGCTTTAGCATATCTACAGATATGGCAGTGTTTATCTTGACGGATAGGATTGCCCTCATCTACTCCTACCCCGCTGTCAGTATTTGAATCCTTGAGCTCGTGGGGTGCTGCCCAAAGCTCCCCTTACGTCCTGCCCGCAGATTCCCCTGCTTTCAGTTGCCAGCTAGTCTCATGGCTTCAGTCACTCTGAATCTTTCTCTTTCACTCAGACATTCCACTCAGGTGGCGCTCTAATGGCCAGTGGCCTGGTGGGATCTCCTGCTGGGATGTCCTTGCAAAGCTAAACCCATCATTTATCTCTTCCTTTTCTCAGCATGCAGTGTGGCTGTCCACCAGTTGCTCAACCTAGATACCTGGAAATCTGCATGTGCAGCCTTTCGCTCGCCATATGTAACAGTTAGTCTCGAGGTCTGGTCAGCTTAGCTATTCCTAAATGTTTCTTGAAATAGCCCTCTCTTTCCTGCTACCGCTGCCTTGGCGCAGGCTCTTATCTCTTACCAACAGCCTTTTGTCTTCTTGCCTCTGTAATTATATCCACCACTGCGCGCGCGCACACACACACACAGACACACACACACACACACACACACACACACACACACATGCACACGCACATAGCCTTTTCCATTTGTCTCAAGAGTCACTCTGGAAAACAAAAGTGACATTTCCGTGATGTAAAACCTTCAATGGCTCTGGGCTGCACTGAGAATTGAAGCTCCCTAATAAGCCCTCTGCCTAATCCCTTGGCCTCTTGTTCTGCTATCCCCAGCCTCACAATTTATACACTCTTAACACCAAATGCTTGCAATTGTCTTCACACACCATGTTGTTTCACACCTCCTTGCATTTTTTTTATGTTGATCCTCTGCCTAAAATTACTTTCTTCCTTGATCTTCGGAACTACTCCATACTCAACCTATATGCCGTCATCTCCCCAAATCCTATCCCAACATCCCACAGCAGGAGACCTTCTCTAAACCAAGTGTATAATTTTATTATCACCACAATAAGTGGAAATTTTCTGTTTACAATTCTAGATAGTGTAATACCTTCAAGGAAAGGATTGTGCTTTATTCATCTTAATATGACTATAATCAAAGTATAAACAGAACACTCTTAGAAAAAGAATTATTTTTACTCCTGCATAGTAGGCCATTTCTTTACATAGTGATTATGAATGATTACTTATATTATTATTGATTGCCTATTTACTTTATTTAGCTAGCTTTTCCCCATGGAATAGTTCAGTGTTAGGATTACAACAAATTGTGACAGTCATCCAGTTTAGTCCCCTCATTTTACAGATGAGAAAACCGAGGTTTCGAAAGCTAAATTATTTAATGTCCCACAAGTAAGAGCAGCATTAGAAAACCTCTGGCACCTGTGGCCTGACCTTGGCTTCCCCAAACTCAGAGTCCAGTTTTTGGTGTACTTTTCTTAGTTCCGAGTATGATAGCCTATGGTAGGTATCCTTAGCATAGAACAGACAAAGCAATAAAAGAAAAACTCTTGCCTTGAGTCATGAGGCAAGTAATTATGCTGTGGTAGAAGAATTATACAATTCAAATGAACAACTTGGTATTTAATTTTAATAGCCACATAAAAATGCTAATTTTTTATTTTGAGAAATTTGGCTCAGTTTCTAAGCATGAAAAATGAGAATGCCAATGTCAATTTTAACTGACCAGACCAAAGGATCTGTGTGACATACTGATAATGCCCAGATTTATCTTTCAGTCCTATTCTTTAGTTGGGATTGTTTTTCCTAGTAAGCTAAGTTAAAGTTGAAAGTTTTAAAATAGTTTTTCCTCTGGCCTTGGATTAAAAAGTAATAGTAGTTCTTATATTTAATTTTAGAGGGCTCCTTTTTAAAAAATTACTACTACTCAGACTTCTCTTAAAAGTTGTGAGCCAAATCAGGCAGCATCTGCTGGTATCCTGTAACCATAGCTCTTTGCATCTCCCGACTCCTTAGGGAAATGACCTTGAATGCTCAGAGATCTTAATGGCATCAAGACACCACTGATGAAATGGGACCCTTAAGAAGGATTCCAAAAAATCTTTATAGTAGTATTTATTTTTTTTAATTTTTCAATTATAGTTGACATATAATATTATATTAGCTTCAGGTGTACACCCCAGTGATTAGACATTACATAACTTACTAAATCTCGCACCCATCTGACACCATACATAGTTTCTAGAATATTAACTCTATTCCCGATGTTGTACTCTACATCCCCATGACTGTTTTGTAACTACCAATTTGTACTTCTTAATCCCTTCACCTTTTTCACCCATTCCCCCCATCTGGCTACCATCAAAATGTTCTCTGTATCTATGAGTCTGTTTCTGTTCTATTTGTTTGTTAGTTTTGTCTTTTACATTCAATTATTGACAGATACGTATTTATTGCCATTTTATTGTTCATATTTTTTATCTTTATTTTTCTTCTTCTTAAAGAAGACCCTTTAACATTTCATGTAATACTGGTTTGGTGGTGATTAACTCCTTTAACTTTTTCTTCTATGGAAAGCTCTTTATATGTTCTTTGATTCTAAATGACAGCTTTGCTAGATGGAGTAATCTTGGTTATATGTCCTTGCTTTTCATCACTTTAAATATTTCTTGCCAATCCTTTCTGGCCTGCAAAGTTTTGGTTGAGAAATCAGCTGGAAGTCTTTTGGGAGCTCCCTTGTAGGTAACTAACTGCTTTTCTCTTCCTGGTTTTAAGATCTTCTCTTTGTCTTTAACCTTTTGCATTTTAATTATGATGTGTCTTGGTTTGGGCCTTTTTGAGTTCATCTTGTTTGGGGCGCTCTGTGCTTTTTCAACTTCTATGTCTATTTCCTTCATCAGATTAGGGAAGTTTTCTGTCATTTTTTCAAATAGGTTTTTAGAGAACTAGAAATATAGTAGTATTTCTTAAATTATTGCCTGTATTAACATTAACACTTATTTTTATCTTTTGAGGTATGGAGAGGCATTATTTATGAATTCCAAACTTATCAGTGGAGTTACAGAATTTCTCAATACTGAAGGTGAACTCAAAGAGGTAAATATTTTAAGATTTCTAATATTTTTCTATAATAAATGTATGAAATGATACTATTACTTCAACCATTTGTTTCCAATGGAATCATATTCGTTCTTTTAACACACACACTCACTCATGCTAACTACTTTACTCAATTCATTATTTGCAAAGTGCCTTTAAGAAATGCTTGAATGGAATGAGTCTTCAACTGGGAGATTCCAAATCCACTCCAGACATATCTGATTCAATCAGCTGCTTGTCAGCTGATTTTGTGAACCCAATTTAGGATCCTCAAAACAACAAAACTCTCCTGTGATTCAGTATTTGGATACAGAGACCAAAGTTGAAGTTGAGGTACAGAACTTGAGTCTCACTGCTTGGTGCTCAGGCTCATACAGAGAATGGATAACTGGATGTGATGCTATTGCTTCATGCTATTCAGTCTGTTAAGTGGAATAAATTCATATGTTGGAAGGAAGTGTATCTGGAAAAATATATTTAGATTAATAGTTTGCTTAAAATTCTGCTTGGTACAGTCACAAAGGAATTTCATTAATGAAAACAAACGTAATTTTTTAAGGACTAGTGCCCAGTTGGTGAAGTATCTAACATATCCTTTTTTCTCTGGTTTATTTCTCTGGATACCAACTACTGTTTTGACCACTAACATCTCTAATAGAGAGGAGTGTGAAATGGGAAAGGGTAAGTAGGTAGGAGGAAGGAGCAAAATATAGATACTCTTAAATGATTAGAATGAGTGGGCTGTCAAACATCTCTCCCTTCTTAGTCTGCTGCTATAAAACATAGCTGAGGGTCTTCATTGAGAATCATGGTTTCCTTAGTTACCACCGATGGAATGCCTGATGCTGTGACCTGGAGCTAATCACATCAAACAGCGATCCTGCAGAAGCATCAACCCTGGCACCACCCTTATCTTTTGATATCGCCCAATTTTGTATGATCCTCCACCATGCTTAGCGTGGCTTCTTTCACACCATGAGCTAAGTTCAGTCTCTGATTGTAGTGATTTCAAACTCAATTTTTGTCCCTGCTACGTGTGTTCCCAACTCTGAAGGATTTGGTTTTGAAAGTCCCAGCTCATGTTTCACTATATTTGTTAGTAAGGGAAGCTAAATGGGAAGGACTTTTTCATATCCATACAAAGCAGAAAGAAAGAGCAATTACATTAATGATTGCTTCCAATTTTCTCTGTATTTAAATGAAGTACTTATAATTCCATGACTTCATATTCAATTACCTGTAAGTGAAAGACTCCTTTAAGCGCTACCTGTGCAGCTTTTGAAGTGATTGCAGAAGTGAACAACCTCTCCTCTCCTCTGCCTTCCCCTCCTCGCCCCTCCTTATTGCTGCCTTTCTTCTCCAGGCTTCTCTCTGGGTCTTCTCCCCATCTGACGCGTGTCCTCCCTGCCTCTCTCCTGCCCCCCTCCTTTTTCTATCCTCTAATTCTGTCTATCTTTCGTATTTTATTTTTTTTGCTTTGGTAATACCAGGCAATAGGAAAAAAATATTTTAAGTGGACATATAACAGATTTTATCGTATACTGACCATTTGGTTCTATGTATTTCACTTATACATTTAATTTTTACACTAGACTTCATTGCATTTGAAATGTTCTAAGATATCCATAATGAAAGGTGCAGTTTCAAAACTGAAACTAAGTTGTGAATTTTAGTCCATTATCGGCAAAGCAGCTAACTTCTCAGCGGAGTTCCTGGTATGAGCGATGAATCCCTTCACGGCATAGCTGCTTGCTCTGACTTTCTAGTTTAACAGCTGTGGCCTGAGGCTTTTTCATACTTTCATTATCTAATCGTCTGTAGGATTGGGCACCACTGTTGTTGGATGGAATGGGGGTTTAATTTGTATTGCTGAGAACCCCTTCCATAAATATAAAGGGGCTGAGGAAATTCCAGTCTCATTCTCCTGTAACCAATGAGCCTCATAAGCAGAAACCCAATGTGCTCCCTCTAGACATGGCATATTCTCATTCCAGCAGTTTATAGATCAAAAGAGAATCAGCATCTTTATGAATTCTGAAAACTCATTTAAGATTTTCATGATCCCCATCAGCTTTAGGGGCATCAAGTAGAGATACTTATATTGTTACATGGTTCCATCCTACAACTGCATCCAAGAGCCTCAGACTGACAGTTTCCTTTAACTCCTGGCTCTAGCAGTTTGAACAATATTTCTCCATGAGACAGTGCATTATTTCCTTAATTTTAAACTCATGGAAGTACTACCACATGGAATTTCAGAGGCCCTTGCCATTTTTCCATACTAATGCCCTTTAAGCATCCATTCCTCTCCAGCACTCATTTTCCTGCTTCTTGAACCTAATGTATAACACCGTTGTAGGATAACATAGATCCCGTGCATTGCAGAGATCCCACTCACAGCTTTAATGTTTAATTTAAACTATAAATCTCATGATAGGCAATAATCCGATTCATTTATATATGTTGCAATTTACTCTACAGATAATTTTTATTTTGTGATGTTTAAGATTGAGGGCACCCTAAAATAAGAGTTTTATAAAATGTTAAAATGTTTTTAATAGAGAAATTGACAAACATGTCTAGAAATTTTACGCTCTGAAGAGCAGAGAGAACAAACAACTCTGATGTGTTACTAAATGTTATTTTATAAAAATGTCTAAACCTACAGCCTCCTCAAATAAACACCTAAGGTGGCATAGATATTTAGGAAACACAATAATAAAAACTAATAGCAGCAGACACTGTACCAAGGAACTGCAGAAATAAGCAAACTAGAACGCCAAATGCCTTCCACCTACCCCACGGCCTCTAGAGTGAGGCAGGAGTCTGGAGGGCTCTGCGATCACGCCCTCGGACCAGCTAGAGAGAGGGCTGCTCTGACCACCTGTTTGCTAGAAGAGCTGTGGAGGAAGAAGGGGCGTAAGATCAGTTTATGCCAGCTGAGGAACGTGAGCCAGATGTCCTCTGACCAATAGCTACACCTAAGATTCACAGGAGTCACTGCAGGCTCTCTGAACTCTTGAGGGCAGTATTTAGTGCACTAGAATAGTGAGTTGAGAAATGAATCCCAAGAGACCTACCAGTTACCTTTCCAACTGAGCATTCTCTTGCAGCATAATCGGACCTGCTATCCTGTCAATAGCACATTTGTATTCAAACCTATTGTTTGCCTTTGCTGAAGACTTAAGAGATTTACTTCTTTGTTCAGGGTGCTTTGCTATCTCATCAAGAAGCCCACAGCATGCTCCACAGGCTCGAAGTTGCCAAAGGGTCATTATCACTATTTGGCATGCTCAGTGACTGCTTAGGAAAATATGTAAGAAAGCAGAGCATATTTTATAAGGAAGAGATGTAATTTTTTCCTGATTGATACATAACTAATGCTACTATACTATACTATATAATGTAATGTACGTTTTGTAATAAGTTGAAACACTAAATTCAAAACATAGATCACCATGTATTATTTGTTGCTTTAGAGATATAGACTGAACGAGTCTGAGCATAGCTATATAAATACAAATGAATTATTGGATTAATCAGCTAAAATTAAAAAGGTCATTTGGGTGTTTTTGTTAGATTTCCTTTTTACATATGTATATATGTTACAGGTGTATGTGTGTGGCACAGTGCCTGAGATATGGAAGCTATTCAAAAAATTTCAGTGCTTTCCTTTCTTCCCCTTTCCTTAGTATGAGTAAATTTGGTCAAATGTCAACTCAATTTTAACGATAGTGCCAATAAACCTTTGTTAAACATTGGATATTTTACATGTTTGTTATAAAAGCATAGTAATTTTGAATTCTTGTAAAAGACACTGCTCTGAGACATGGTTACCTGTTGCTAATGTGGTGAGGCATGGGGCTTTGTAGGAGAGCACAGGATAAACTTTGAGAAAACCCATCAGTATCATGTAATCAAAGTTGCACTGTCATAAACAAACCACGCTTCCCAGAAACTGGTTTTTAGATTAACCCAAAAGGTATTAACTCCATTTAAAAATTTTAAATGTCCCTCCCATTTCTCCTGTCCTTAGGGCAGCCCTGACACGGTACATTTCCCTCCTGGCCTGCCCTCCACATGGCGCCGCCCACCCTGGGATGACTCACACCACATAATGTTTCTTTGATGCAAGTTGATTTTTCACATTTGTCTATTAGCATTGCAATCGTTGGTTGCAGTTTCCTAAGACATACCAAACAGAAAGAAACACTGCTAGCATCAAATCTTGAAATAAAATCCCTGAGCATTCCAGAATATGTAGACTCGTTAGAGAAAATCTTATATCCATAAGAATTATGACAAAACATTTAAAAATTATAACATTTTAATTTAGTGTTCCAATTCTCTGGCTAAATGAGACCACATTCCTCCTTCATTCTTTCTAAATCTAGTTACTCAGGTGACTGCGATGCCATTGAATCATCCAGTTTTTATATCATCAGTATTCTTTCCCCACTACCCAATAACTGGTAATTCCCTTTCCATCAAAGACAGTGTCAAGCCCTCAGACTGCTTATCTGGAGAAGAGGAAGAATAATTTTCTCTCTACAAACAAAAAGCAAACTTTAATCCTTATATTCAGCTTTTTTTTTTTTTTTTTTAAATCCTTGCACGCACCCCTATGGGGCAAGGTTTAGCCACTGAGCTAAACCAGCTAGGGCTATATTTTAAGGCTATTTCGTCCATTGGATGTGCTTCGTAATTAGAATTCGTCTTTGCCACAATTCCATCAACCTGTTATGAAAAGATATATTAAATATGTCTGTTTTAATATTTATCTATGAAACAAGAGCTGATTTTATGGCTATTTAAACCGTAATATCCACTCTTTTTTCCCCTTTCAATTCCAAAATAAATCACGCCTAATGGACACAGTCATATTACATTTCAATACTAAGCTTACTCCACATATTCATTATACCTTCCATAGTGACTGTGGCACATTGTTTCAAACCGATTCTTGTTTACATATGTGGGACATGTATATAAGACATGCATATTTACCATTAAAATTTCTTTATTTTCAGCTAAAGAACTTCATGAAGAACTATGATGGAGTAGCTGCTGCCTCTTTCTCAAGAGCCGTGGAAACTGTTGAAGCCAATGTGCGCTGGAAAATGCTTTACCAAGACGAGCTTTTCCAATGGTTAGGAAAAGCTCTGAGACACTAGGAGGTGTCTCATAAACAACTCAACTCAGAATTTCTGTGAGAAGCCCTACTTTATGCAGAATGAGGAAAATTGCCAGATTTTCAGTGTTAACGTGTGGGAGGAATTTTTTTTTAATTGTTGATTTTGGGGGATTTTGTTTGTTTGTTTCATTCATTCTGTTTTGTTTCTCCATTGGGCGTTCTTCTTTAAAGAAACTCTTGCAAATGAAACTAGCCATGACTGCTTCAGCTGTACATTCCTTGCTCTACAGGACCAAATATGATAGTGGTGCATGTTGGTGTTGCAGTCAATTTGGAAAAAACATACTCAGAATATTTTGTGCATGGTCGTATGGTCCTGCCTGTGTTCCAGCATGCTTATTTAAAATGTCCAATGTTGTATGTTACACATGTTACATCCAGGATGGGCATTATGCAAAAGCACAAAGATTATCTATGACAATCAGTGTTGCAATGAAAGAAAAACTAAAAAAGGAAATTATATTCTCAGTCTTGGGCAGTGTAAGAGGTAAAATAGCCCTTTAAGTGATCAAGGTCACTTATTTCAGCACATGGATTGTCTTGCAATGATTATTGTGTTGTTAACTCATTTTTTGAGTTAAAGTTGTGTATATGTTTAAAAAAGGCATATAGATAGTGTATGCATATGTATATGTACATAGGGAAACCCCATATGTATATAGTATGTTGTACACTGCACCTCTGCAAAGAATCTCTTCAGATTAAGGACAATTTATCTCTTTTTATAAACTTCTGCAAACTTTGAAAAGGCTGAAAAGAATTTATCTCAACACTATCTTTCTGGACAATTTCCTAAGTTTCTCAACTGTTATAAATTTGTTTCATCTACTTCCTTAACGGTGGTCTATTCTACTACATAAAAAATGGATTCAAACAAAATTTATGTATAAACACTTTTCTAATTCTCCTAAGTGGCAGCCTTGCATTCTAAATATAAATTATGTCATCATTTTGGTCAAACTTCCTATTGCATAAATTGTGCATACTTAATAATTATTAGTGCTGCAAAAAATATTTATTTTTTCATCTTGTTTGTATTTCCAGCTCACGTTGGGTGGTCCAGAGAGTTAAACACTCTCTGTGTGTCGGTTTTGTGTCTGTGAATCTAATCCTCCATTAAGCAACCATACCTCAAGTGGGTCTATTAGCCCTTAATGACCCTTAATGCCAGTTGTGCCATCCATATGTTAAAATTAAGTCCAAAAGTTACTTTTCTTGAGCAAAACTTTTTCTTTGGCATGGACAACACTTTTCTTTTTGTTATGTAACGCAGATTTTTTAAATGGTATTCTCACACTGTGAGCCAGCTCTCCAAGCATAGCTTAGATGCTCCAAACTGACATATTTTAAGTTTCTCATTATAAAATACCAATACAACTACTGTACATAAGCCAAATGTTTGTGAACCACTTTCTATTTTCCTGAGGTTTTTACTCTTCCAAACCTCCTTCAAATCTTATTGCAGATCACTGAAAGAAAATATTCTAACTCTAATAGTTGGTGAACACTAGCCAAAAAAACAAAAACAAACAAAAGAAACTCAGGTATTTTAGAAACCTGAGCCATAGATTTATTAGAGGTTTATAGTTCCTAATCCACAGAATGAGTATCACCTAAAATTGAATTTTATCTTTTTTAGCACTTAATATCTATTACTTATATCTATTTTTTTCAGTGCTTATTTTAATTAAAACACATGAATTTTAAATACTCTATGTGGTGTTTCTAAGACATAGTAATGCTTAGTATAAAATTCAAGAGCCATCCACCTATCAGAAGTGATGAAATTTAATTAGTACTCATCACATATGGGAACTTTTTAAGGGGTAAGTTCTGAAACAGGACAATAATAAATATCACACTGATGTGCAGTCCAAAACATGTACTATATCACCATTGGACTCATGTATTAAGAGAAGATAAAAAAATTGAGGTGGATATCTTGTTTTGTGTTGTGAATTACTGAAAATTCTTAGTAGTTGTGACATTTTTGAGTGAAATCACCATTTCCACATTTGAGTTAGAAGGGCTTTTATAGTTCATTTTTCCTCCCCACTGTTAATAATCCTCTTTCAGTGTTTTAGTGGCCTTGAACAACTGGTTTAGCTACCGTGTCCGATCCTAAGTGTATGATTATGTGCGATGTTCAATACCTCATATAATACTTGTTCAACAGTATAAGTGATATCAATGGCATTGAGATGGAATTTTTGTTCTACATATTTTTCAATGATTATTCTTTGAAATGTTGACGATTATATCAGGCTTTAACATTTTTTAGTTGTTTAAATAAGTAATATTTTCCAAATAATAAAATAACTACTGATATCTCTTGGAATATTATGTAAAATGTAGTTATAAAATTCTATTTTCTACATAGAGTTTTTATCTTTTTTTTCTTCTTTGTCTGTTTTACAACTCATATATATGCATGAAATAGCAAATTGTGGAAGTGTCCAATAGCTAGGCTTAAAACTTTACTGTGCCAGTATATGTACAATGGCAAAACTTGGTTTCAATTAAAAACGACTAAATTATTTACCATATTGAATATTAAATATCTCTAGGTAACTTGTAAATAAAAAGTTTTCCCCATTTTGACACATTTTCCCTTAAAAGTTTCTTATAATCTTTGAAAAAAATTTAAAATATATAAGCACAAGGTCTAAAGCTAATATCTACAATGCTAGGTTTATTCTTGAGTTTCAATAACATGGATTTTAGCTGGAGCTTAAAGTCATTTTGGTGTATATTATTTCTTGGATAATTGTAGGACTAAAGTTTTAGTGGTGGTGCAATTTACAAATATTATAATTGTAATATCTTACAAGGTTATTAAGATTATACCATATGATTACATATTGCATTTCATTTTCAAAGAAATTTAACACATGCCATTTTGTTTGACTCTTTTCAAAAACATAATAAATCATATTAGTCCTGGTTGTTTGATGAGAAAACTGAGGCACAGAGTAGCAATGCGAAGTATTTAAAAATTACATAGTTGTTACTTTGGGAACAGGTAAAATAACCCAAGACTTTCAATACAGCCATTTTACAACTAAAATAGAAAGACATGTTTGAAATATCTCTATTCACTGCATTAGTTGAAGATTTTCCAAATACTGGAAGCAGTATCAAAATATGTGATTAAACAGATCTACAATAAGTATGTTATTTTTGAAGTCTTTGTTTCTAATTTGCTTGATTTGGAACAACTGGATGAAATGTTAATCACCATTGACTTTGGTCAGCATAAGTAACCAAATATTGGGACAAAATGTATAGTTTAGTGACTATAGTTTTCTTTTTTTTTAATCTTTTGGTTAACATTGTTTAAGTGACCTTAAAATACTGATAATTTGATTTATTTCCCACACAAATTTCTCTAATAAACTCTATCTGTAGTAACAAATGGTCAGACCACAGATAAAATGGTATCCATCTAAATCAATGAAAATAATATTCAGTAAAATGTTTATAAATCTATGCAGACTAAGTCTGAAAAAACAAACTTTTGTGCAACTGTAGTACTAGATTTGATGCAGTAAAGGGATTTCTAAAGAAGTTTGCAATAATATATTTAATTTAAATCTACTGGCTATTAAAAATTTAAGGAATGTTTTCCTAAGAAGTCGGAAACCTGAAATAGCCAATTATTCTCTTCAGTACACCCATGAAGTACCCACACATGCCTATTAAAGAAGTAAGTAGTAAAAACTCACACAATGAGAAATGCAGATTCCCACACCTGTATTTTTTCTTTATGACAGATTGTAGCTGAATTATTATCATTTGTCACTGCTAATTATGTAATGACAGAACTCAGTTTAATTAAACAGAGTCATTGAGCACATTTTATTTTACAAAGCACTATGTGAGAGGTAAGGAAGGGATGAGTAAGGCCTGAAGGAATTCACATCACAGTGAACGAAACAAACATAGAGAAATAATGAACCAATGAGAATGAGAGTAACATGAAAAATAATTACAGGCTACAGAAGAGGAACTAAATAATTTTTAGGTGGGAATGATTCTCATTGTTTTGTTTCATAGCAGTTACTTGTGTTTCACGGAAATGTGTAACATTTAGAAAGTATAATAGAAACACTCTGTTTAAATTTTATAAATTAGAATATAAATTGGGATAGAATTTATCTTTAAGAAAAGATGTTTGAGCAATTTAAAAATATCAGTAAGTTGCAGAATGAATGTTTAACTTATTTGTGTAAAAGTAGTTCAAGTTTTCTAAAATGGTTTTAGCGTACTATTTGTATAGTCATAGTGTATTAATTTAATTATATATATTTTAAAGCAGGTTAAAATTTTTGTCTTAGAAAATAATGTATTTGTTCAAATTGGTATATGTGAATTTTCAAGTCCAAAAATGTTCTTGTAAAATACTTTTCAATTTCAAATTTTAATATATGAGTAACCTTCAGTTTAATTGCTTTAAATGAATAGGAAAGTTTTTTTAAAAAATATTTTGTTTAATGTGATTTATGTTCAGGAAAAATCTAACAAAAGTATATTATAATAGCTTTTATTTTCTATTTAATTTTATGAAATTTTATCTCAAAGTTTAGAAAAGGAATTTTAAAAATGTGTTAAGTATTAAATAAGAAGTTGGTGAAAAAATAATTTCTAGTTTTAAGTATACTGCATATGAGTAATTACATGCATTTTATTTTTTAAATAAGTAGTTCACCAATGCCCCTACTAGTAGTAGACAGTATGATTTTATCTAGATTTCGAAAGCATGGCATTTTAAGGTATTTTATTTTGACTATTTCATACTTTAAGGATAGCACATTGAAGATGTTTATCTTTTGGACATTCCCATTTTATGTACTAATACACTAAGAAAAATATGACCGATCCTTTATTTTTATCTGAATTAAAAATTTTGTGCTGTATTAATGTTAAATGAGTTATAACATAGGAGAGAACAAAAATCTGAATGTCTACTAAGTGCCAGACACTTTATAGATACCATCTTATTTAATAAACCTAATAAAATTTTATGTTTCATTTTACCATGAGGAGACTAGGCCAAGTGCTGTGATCAGTTTATTTAACTGGTGGTAGGTATTAGCTGGGATTCAAGACCTTGCACCCGCCAGCTTCATATGGCTCAAATTAGTCGTTAATCTGCCTCCAACGTGGATGGAAACAGTGATTATCCATACAGACCTGTCTCTATAGAAAATTTGAATAGATACTTAGCTCACTCTCTCATTGTCATTGGCATATTGGAGAGGTGTTAATTATGCATTCTGGTTTACCACTCATTTCTTACCAAGGTTACTTCATATAACTTAGAAAAGTTTGTATCAGGACGTTTTACATTAGTGTGTGTAGTGGGTTTTAGGCTATACCAGGTAATTAACAGATATTCCAGGCAACAAGCCATGAGAAATAAATAAAACAACTGGCCGGATGGCAAAGCTTCTCACCAGTGGACCAAAAGGAAGGGTTAAGCCCCTGTTCTGCACGCGGAGGAGACCTAGTAGTCTAGAGAGAATTTTGCTTAGTGATGAGGCCAGGGAAGCATTTCTCCCTCTCTGCTTAGAGCTGTGGATGAACTGCCCAGTGTTCTTGAAGGCACATTGCCACGGGGCTGCTGTGCGCACAGTGTAAGACAAACACTTTCGCCTGGTCTTCCCTGGTTGACTTGCGTCTAATCGCACACATTTTTATTATGTCATGTAAGTAAATAAGAGTGAATTGTTTCATAGTAAATATCATGATGGAGTTAAGAACATATGCCTTGAATGTGCGGTGCATTTATTTTTGATGTTAAGCATTCAGTCACTATCCTTTTAACATCTGCTAAGTTCACAATATTACACTTGCTCTTGGACATTTTTGTGTTCTCACCTTCACTTAAACCTACTGGGTTAGAACATTTATTATTAACATTTTGTTATTCAGTTTTATTTAAAATAGGTCAAGTATGAAGCATTTTTCAAATGAATTCCTCCTCAAATGTTCTATTCTACCTTTTAAAATATTATATAATAGTGATCTCACATTATCTCTTAAAATGCTTCTTACACATAGCCGTCTATGAATATACTTGCCATTTCTCTTCGCTATCTTTTAGACCCTTTACGTTTTGATAGTCACTGCAAGCAAATGAGAACTATAAGACTCAAACACATTAGGACTATGAAGCTTATGCGCCATCCAGTTACCTGAAGCAAAAACAAAGTCTGCCTTTGAGCTTTCCTAATTGGCTTTATGGCCACCACTGAGTTCATCAGCTATTTTTTAAAAAATATTATGTGGACTATCTCTAATGAACTTGAATTTATTCAGCAACAAAGTTTATTTTCCTAAAGCCATTCACCAAATGAACAGAAATTTAAAATGTGATAAATGGAAGCAGTTTTTTCCTTTCTAATATTTTATGATTTAGAAATAAAAATGTAACTTTTTAAAGTAAATACAAGTTACTAAAGCATTTACCAAATAAATAATTTTGTGTTAGTTTAGCAGATGTTTTCTATTGTATACCTTTAAAATTATTCAGTAAAAATTGAATTAGTGTGTACATAACATGAAAGTTTTATTCCATTATAACCAAGCACTACCAAAATGGGTTTTTCTAAATGAGTAAATTTGTCTTCTGTATTTTAAACAGAACAAATTTGAATTTTGCCTCTGATAATAAAATTTTGTACAGTAATGTATAATTCATCACTGTCTTAATTTTCTGACATGTGCAGATAAGGCCAAGATAAATAATACCTTCTGCTTTTTTATTATGTTTCTGTGTTCACTTGAGAATCAAACCATTTTTAAACATTCTGAGTATACACACCATAGAGGCCCGTGAAAAGAGAAAAAAAAAACAGATTTTTTTTTTTGACATAGGCTTTTATAAAACTATACTTATGCTGAAGCTAGAATAAAGAAGTATGTATTTTTGCTATATTGTAGAAAGAGGAAAAAAAATACCAATTTTCTCTCTTTTCTAATTGTATACCTTTAGAATAAATGGAATGATCTGCACTTTGGTAAAAGTGATTTCACCTGAAATGCATTTCGGATTGCTTTTTAATAGGTTTTCCTCGTTCGACAGACTGTCAGGAGCCCTGCATTTCAAGAACAGTTTTCAATAACAACAGGCCTATAAAATATATATAATCAGTGCCCATCACTAGTACTCAAATACATTTTTTAATGTCTCTGGGTTTTTCTCTCTTTCTAAGGATTGTTCAGGGGACATTAGAATTTGATTCTGCATAGCCATCCTTGTGAGCCCTACCTATAACACTTTATAGAGCTGTAGGAAATCCTCTGCCATGAGCATAAGTGATGGAAGGCCTTCCAAGGCAGAATCCAGAATACTCCCATTAGTATTAGAGTCAGTGCCTACATGCATATGTGTATATACACATACACATACACATATGCTGAAGATACATAATGATGGATGCCTATCTGTAGATGTATATGTATATACCTCATATATACGTATATACCTCATGTCTATACCAATATAGTTTATTTCACTGTCCAAATGCTAATTGTGCTGCAGAATAATTGTATAAGTCAGAAAATAGCTATTGCAAAATATAAATTGAGAAGTAGAGCATGGGTACCATCTTTACCTGAAGAGCATGTCAAACGGATGATTAAATTATACGGGCGTGATTGCAGAAACTCTCTTGAGGACTTATGAATGGGCTTATTAAGAAGCCATTCTGCCTGGCCCCGACCCTAGAGGTTGTCTTAGTAGGTGTTGGGCGGGATGTGGTCATCTGCGTTTTGAACAAGGATTTTTGTGATTCTGGTGGAGATGATCTGCCTAGACTGCACTTTCAGAAACATTGGCTAGACGCAGCGGTTCTCTGCTCTTTACATGAGACTCCCCTGGATAGCTTTTACAACATAGTGATGCCCAGGACACACTCTAAGCTTATGGAAGAAGAAATTCTGGCATGGGAAATCCGCATTTTTGAAAATCCCCAGGTGATTCCAATATGCAGTGATGGTTAACCCCTGGACAGGAGATACGGATATGAGCATTAAGTAACTTAAGTAATGGTTATAGTATGTTACTGAAAGTGCCTATTTTTCAGAAATCTAAGAAGTTCTTACTGGTTTTTGTTCATTCTTCAGCAAATACAGAAATGCAAATGTGTTCTCAACTAGCTAAATGGTAAATGTGAACGGCAAGATTAAACAACAGGCCTTACTGCTCTAACATGTCACGGCCACAGTGCAGAAAGCTGAGTGGTACCGAGCTGTCCATGGAGATGTCCCGTTTTCCCTGTGTCCTGACACATTCTCCTTTCACCCACTTTACCTTACACCTTTCCTCTATAGTCCGAACGTGTATGACCATATTCAGGCTTACTATTATCAAAAGTAACACTTTTTCAACTTTCGTTTTGAAATGAAAGA